AAAAATTTTTTTTTCAAACATATATACATGTAACAAAAACCCTGTGGTTTCTGCTAACTGCGTTATCAGAATCAGTACCCAAGCGTATAGAAATTTTTTTTTTCAAATAAACAAATTTAAAAACATTAATTTTAATGAAAAAAATTGGAAATTGTATGTGGTTTTTTATCTAAAAAAAAGCCGGGGAGTAAGAGGATTGTCAAAACCCCGCATTACCGATACTCTGTGAGTTAGAGAAAATAAAACCACATACAATTTGCAAATTAATTTTTTTTCATTAAAATTAATTTTTAAATGTGTTTATTTGAAAAAAAAATCTATACGCTTGGATACTGATTCTGATAACGCACTTAACGAGAACCACAGGGTTTTTGTTACATGTTGTATAATTTATGTTACTTTTTTTAAATGGACTAACTTTTGGCATCTACTTGGCCCGAGGGCAAAGATGAGGTCTCCGATGGAGAGAGTTTGCCCAGGAGAAGCCTGTTCACACGCACCTCGATGAGGTTCACATTATACGCACTCAGAAAAAACAGGCACCGACAGGGCGTGTACATACCTTGGCTACGTGCATTACAAAAGATGTCTTAAAGCGTTTATTGCAAATATTCGGATTTCAAGCAAATGTAGATCGTAACCAGATAATACGTCTGGTGCTCCGATAGTAGAATGTAGAGCTTATTAAGCTCAAAGGCACACTGAAATGAATTCTTCAGTACATGGGGATATAAAATTTGTAAGTCACAGATACAATATCAATTTACTTTCTTATAATATATATATGACCGGACCGGATGACCGAGCTTTGCTCGGTTTTTTTTTAAGTTACACACACACACATATATATATATATATATATATATATATATATATATATATATATATATATATCTATGGCAACATGTTTGTCTTCGGGTGATTGTGTTTTGCAAGAAATATAACGACTCAGTTCTTAAGGGGAAAAAATCAAAGAAGTCCATAATTAAAACCATTTCTATATTTTGACGTTTTTAATAGTTTTAATGTATAATTAAATCAACATTAGAATTCCAGGATTATTAAAATTTAATGTTATATAAAAAGTATAAAATGACTTCTAATTAAAGCCCTTATTAGGTGGAAATTATTTAATTCTTTAATTCAATTAGTTTATGAAATCAGTTTTTACTTTTGATTGAATGCTTAATTTTATTTTTATTTTTAGCTTCAAGGTAACAATTTACATCGTCTAAATGGTTACATTAAGATTGATACCTTATTTTTCATTCCAATTTTTTCTTTAAATTTATACAGGCCCACCCCTGAGTCCTGACCCCTATAACCCATTTAATAAAAGAGGAATAATTTAAATCAGTTCACCATTCTCGAGAAATTAGTGTCACATACATTGAAAACATATGCGTCGAATACAGAACTTTCTTGTTTTTTGAACTCAGGTAAAAAAAGGTTAGCTCAGGTTTGAAAATTTATAAATCTAACAATTTTCAGATTGTTGGCCGACGTTTATCGTCTACTGCTACGATACTTCCACCGTATTTTACATACCTGGCACCAGATAAAAATAAACAAATCATGCCGCACTGCATTGTAACACTGTTCTGCGTACAAAGGATGAATTGTGGGCAGTATTTTATACTGAAACTACGTTCGTGTCACTGCTACACTATTCACTAATTTTGTAAATAATATTTACGTATAAAATATAAATATACCTAAATATATTTTCATGGATATTATAAGAGGCTACAACGGGAAATGAAGTAGTATTTGGGCTGCAGCATCATCTTGATAACAGCACAAAATAATAAAAACGCTGCTGGACCTTAAATAAGCTTTTATGATGTTTGCAAAACAAGAAAATAGAAATCTTTTGTCATAGAAGAGGGGATAACAAGAATTTTGATCACCTGATGGTAAGTGACTAAAACCTGACAAATTAATAAATGCAACACCAGAGGAATTAGTACATTGCCGGCCTTTTCAAAAAGAAAAAAACTCTTTTCTTGAAAGTACCTAAGACGTATTAGTCTGCAAAATTTGCTTGTGGTAGCCGATTTCACTAGTGAACCATCACAGAAAGAATTTTTTTAGTAAACCGCCAACAATACACATAGTATTAATCGTATTCCGAATTTTTTGCCGTGTGAGATGGTGAAATTTAGCGTCTGGAATCAGTCTGAAAAAATTATCTGAAGACTCCCTTTGGTAAATGCGGTAGAATATACAAGCGCGGAAAAAGGATGCAATCTCTTTTCACAACGCCAGTGAGTACTGAGTATACCCGATCACAAAGAAATCAATCGACGATTCAGGTCGCTCTTGTCTGGATACGGTCAAATTGAAAGAGACAGCACTAGGGAAATTAAAAAAGCGTTCCATGTGAGGCTGAACTAGCACTTTGTAAAATTACAAACGATGTGAGGGCAAAAAAATACTGTCGCGTTTAACTGATCATGCCAAATTACCGTGAACCCGAACCTCACTCGATATACCGAAGCGGAGGACTCCGATGCTAGCTTAGCCAATAAGGTGAGTGACCTGTAGTTAAGGGAATGTGATAAAGGGTTTTTTACGTTAAACGCGCAAATCTGCGCCTTCTGGTGTTAAAACTAGGCTAGATTTAGTCGGAGTACGGCCGTTTTGTTGAAGTATTTTTTTTAATAATACTTGAGTGCTTTTATTAGTGGTAGAGTCATGCTGCAGCTATATTATGGTTGTAACACGAATGTTTCGGCTCGACCGGGGAAGAACCACGCTCTCACAAAATACCAGCGGAAAATAGCACCTTAGTGTTGATGTGTTTCGTATGGTCAGTGTAGAGAACCGGAGACTCATTTTACTGGAATGAAGAAATTCCATCTTAGTCCTCAGGGCTGACAACGCATCTGCATTTTGAAGTTAAATCTAGATAGATATCTATTGACCACAACACTTACCATCAGGTGGACTGTGTGCTCGTTTGTCATCCTAATTCTATGTAAAATGTGCTGTCATCTGCATAACAATAAAAGTCACTAATACGCAACATAATATCATTGATGTGCAGGAGGAACAGGTAGCGCAATAAGTAACATGAAGTTTGTGTGAAACCGCGACGAAAACTTTATGCTTCGATCGGCGAGAACACTGGTAATCCCATTGAATAATTTAGAATCACTTTGTGCCGAAGTTAATCAAGTTTCATCTCTATGTCCAAATAAACCACAAAGTACTTCTTTTTGACTGCCACCGCCCATCGATGTGTCAAGTTAACTAGAAGTTCACTACTGTCCATTACTGGTAGTAACTGATCAGGTGGTGCTCCTCGAGGGACCCTAATGGATTTTATTATTGGAGACTACGAAGGCGATGACATTTTTTAGGGATCGTGTGCTATCTTACAAGATTTCTGAACAGTGACTGAAGAGTAGGTGTACGGAAAAAGTAGGGTAAGAACCGTTGTCAACTCTAGAGCCCACATCTTGAATGCAATTGGTGAGATTCTTTGCGCTTAATTTGCGGATATTCAGGGAGCTAATTGGAGATATTGAGTTCTAGCAGGTGGCGGTATGTTGCCACTGTCATCGAGAGTCGAGTTGGATGCAAAACGGGAGCCTGAAAGGTAGGTAGTATTTCTTCTTTAATGCAATTGTTTGCATAAGGAAAATGACAGTAGCTATTAAAAAAGGTCAATATTAATGTAATGAAAATAAACATAAACAAACGGACAAAACTTGTGGGTGGTACAACAATGAACTATTGACGAAGTGATTAAGATAAAGAGAGATAATGGAAAATAAAAAATGTTTCCTTTTTTCTATCAATTAGAAAGGTATATTAATTTAAATAAAAAAAACTGAAGTCACTAAATACATCCTTCGAAAGAAATCTAAGAAATCTAAAGCACGTACTTGTCTTTGATGAAAGTGGCGACGTGATTTACTAAGGCACGGTCACCAGTCCCTTTGTCAGATATAAATCAATTGAATAAAAAGATAAAAGCTTTCCTGAGATTTCTCCCTGGTTCTAATACAGTAAACTCAATTGTAGAGAGTATTACATTAGTTCTTGTTACTGATCTTTTTTATATTGCGGTATGTTATATTTAGCGTACTACATAAAATTATAGTTGGTACAAATAATATAAATATATTTTTAATGTAGCAAGTGACAGCGAACAAACAGTACTGTGGCCTATAGACATCTACATCTTCCTCGGTTAAGACCCAAAATCCAGATACGTTGTCATGCGGGAACTAAGATGGAATAACTTTTTTCCAGTAAAAGGGATCTCCGATTCTCTCCAATCACCATACAAAACGCAGCAGTAAGCTGCTATTTTATGCTGTAGAGCGTGGTCTGGTCGAGACGACCCATTTGTGCTACAACCACAATATTGCTCTAGCATGGCTCTACCACATAAAAACTTTATTGTTACATATTAGTTTAATAAACTACTACCTGCGATTATTATTATCAACATAACCGCAATGACAATCCTGACATCTGGTGTCATTCCTTATGCACCCCCAATGACATAGATATCGAAAAAAAATTCTGAGAAGAATACAAAAATAAAATGACGTCACTCTAAATATAGTGGACTGCCAAAGATGATTCACTTTGTTTTTTTATTTAACCCAATGATAAGGATATATAGTGAAAGGTTTAGCTGAAAAAAAAAACGAATATAATGACATCCGCGTTCAGCTATTCGAGGAGATGGTGTACTACTGCTGAACTTAGTGTTGCCAACTGCTAGCTTTACAACAGTAGCTAGACATTTTCAAAATGTTGCTAGATTTCCAGTTTTTTTTTACCCTAAAAATTTGCTAGAAGTTGCTAAATGTTACAGTGAATAAGTAGTTTTCAATAAAATGCCACTTTCTGATAATCATTTTTATTCATTAATTCCAACGAGAAGTTAAATTAAGTCCTGTGTACGCAATTGAATAAAAAATAAAAAATAAATTAATCAATTAAAGAGGAAGATGTCGATGGCTGGTGTTCAGTATCTTTCATTGATTTCGAATATTTTCAACGGAGCCCATTTTATGCAGTACGTCTTTAGGCAAAACACAGTTATAGCAGCATTTACCACTTTTCCTGAGGGAGTCTCTAATGCAGAGGTTTGAGTTCAGAGTTTCCAAACTCGTTCTGTTTCTTTGCTTATTTTTAACTAAATTAATTTGAGAGAATAACCTTTCTACCTCTGCATTAAAATGTGGCAGTGTCAGGCAAGTTAAAGCAAGAGTACTTATATCTTGATATATGTTGTCACCGGAAGAATTACTAAATTTTTTTACTTCGACCCAAAACTGAACTATTTCTTCAGAATGCCATTTATTTATATGTAGAATGTGCCACTGTTGCATTATCTTGTCTATTATTTCTGGTGTAAATCCAAAAATTTCAGCAACGTCGATGATAGTGTTTGATTTGATTGGTTTTATTGCCTCCTCTGGACTTAGCAACGCCATTGATTCTAGCTGCTTGTAGTTGTCTGGAAGCCTTTGTTGCAATTCCTTAAGTAATTGCAATAATAAGGTGGAGCAGCGTTGTCGTATTGCATTTAAAATTTCAGAGTCTAAATTATGTTGAGCAGTTTCAAACATGTAGCCAAGATAAGGCTTAGGGTTAATATTCCTGTCAGTTATTGGATCTAATAATTTTCTGTTTACAGGTCTTGGCATTAAAATTCTCTGGCTCACTGATTCTAGCAGTGTTGTGAAGTTTTAATGGATTAGAGTTTTCACTTTCAAATGATTTAATTGCTGTTTGAATATCATTTAAAACGCTTGCCAGAAACATAAAATATACAAATAATTTCTTTTGTCTTCGAGCATGTTGTAAATAAGCTCAGCTGAGTAGCAATTGTCTTTCACTCTTGCTAAATTAAAATGTATTTTCAATTCTTTCCATTGTGCCAAAATTTTGTTATCGCTGGCTATATTGAAAGCCAACGTGTATCGCACACCTTGGTGATTTATAAGTTCGTATATTTTTGTGTATTCGTCTCGCCACTTAGGAGACGCAGAAAACCATTTATAAATTTCTCTAACCAAAAACTCTAAATTTCTTGGCAGAGTGTTTTCGGAGGCATGGGTCACTGCTAACTGCAACGAGTGGCAGACACATCGTATCAGTATCAAATTTCCTATCCCATATTCTCTTTTTAGGATTGCATGAACCCCGTTATTAATGCCTGTCATGATGCATTATCAGTTCCAATTCCAATCATTTGTTTGATATCTAAGTTGTGACTCTTTAAGCATGATACCAAGCCATTAACGATTCACCTAGCATCTGAACTCTCAAAAGAAACTAGTTCCAGGAATGAGCTTACTATCCTTTCCTGTGCGGCATTATAATACCTAATTACAAGACCAAGGTGTTTACTGACACTGACGTCTGTGTCATCCATTATAATGCTGAACTTTTGATTTCCAATATCATCTAAGAGCTCCATGCGAAAGTGCGGCATCAGCACATTTTTCATTATTTCTGTACATTTAGTGCGATGCAATTTAAGCTCCTGTGTAGCTTTGGAATCTTTGAAACACATTTTGCATAGTTCACCTAAATGGTCAACACATATATAGAACAGTGCTCGGCAATAAATAAGGTCAATGCGCCTTCAGAATCACCGCAAGGTCTAAATAAATGGTCTTTTGGTACAACTTTGAAAGGAATTTCTTTATTGCCTGTAAAGACAAAACTAATATACATAAGGACACTAGACGCAAAATATTGTTTGACCCTAAAAAATAAGTAAAACGAAAATATCAAACTCATTTTTCCCATCGTTAGGGTCTGATATCAACAAAACTAATTTTAAATTCATTCACGTACCTGTTTTGAACTCTACTTTCTGTTTATGCTTTTTGGTCTCAGCATGCTTCTTTATATCAAACAGTTTAGCAAGAATCTCCGTAGAACAATATGTACAAAATGCTTTGCTTGAGTTTCCACTTGTCAATTTTAGCCAACCTTTAAATTCGTCCATATTCTCCCACTCCGGTCTGTATTTTTGTGCGTTGGTTTTTTTTTTCAAAGGTAAATACATTTTCAAATTAAATTAAATTAGTTTATATGGATGAAACAAAACAACACAAGGAAGAATACGAATAGCGCGTACTATATTATTTTACTAAGTATCTGTCGCAGAGGAAACGGGGAATTTCCGGCCGGCGTCGACCTGTACTTACCATAGCATCTATGACCATATTTTTTTTTCTTTCGACTCGGCACACTACTCGACGAATTTCGATAGACGTTTCACGTCACGTTCACGTCTCATGGTGAAATGAAAAGTTGCTAGAAAAAGTAGCTAAAAAGTTTAGCTACAAGTTTTATTAAATTGTAGCTGTCTGTCACAAAATAATAGTTAGATCTAGCTAAAAGTTGCTAAGTTGGCATCACTGGCGAACCAAACGGTAAGACTTAGCGGGGCACGACCCCGCTAAATCTTCTTAGCTTATATCGACCTACACCCTGGGAAAATTCTACCAGTGATGAAAAAATTTAAAGTGGCTAGATTAAAGATGGCTACCACACCAATTTGAACAGTAATAATTCAGCAAAGGTTAGAAGTAGTTTATTTGTGCTCAAACAAATGTTAAAAGGGACCGACGAGGTTCAACTGCTAGCTATTAAAAAATCAAGATGGCGGATCTAAGATAGTGATCACAAACCAACAATGTAGCGTTATATGAAATGTACAAACTTAGAAACATGTCGAGCGATAACTAAAAAATATATTAAAGGTAATTTTTTTTAAATAAGCTTTAACTTGAATGCTTTAAAAAGTTAAAAATAAACTTTTAAAAAAAGTTAAAAATAAACAATTAAATCAAACTCGTCAATTTATTACATGACACAACTTATATAAAACCTTGTCGCGAGAATTACCACTGCAAATAAACAAGAATGTAAAAAGGTTTTTTTTATATTTATAGTTTATGTTTTTTTATATTAGATAAGGGTGGCAAACGAGCAAACAGTCCACCTGATGGTAAGTGGATGTTGTGGCCCATAGCATCTACATTTAATCTGAATTAAGAATCAAAATGCATATTTGTTGTCTGTCACCCTTGAGAAATAAGATGGAATGCGTCGATCTCATTAAAACGGTTCTCTGGTTTTTTACACTCACCATACGAAACACAGCAGCATTAAGCTGCTATTTTACGCTGGTATTCTGTGAGAGCGTGGTCATTCCCCGGTCTAGCCGACCCATTCATGCTACAACCATAATATAGCTGAAGCGTGGCTCTATCACGTAAAAAAATATGTATAAAATGTAGCTTGATATTGACATTAGAAAGTAATTCTGAGAAAAAATAATTTTTAAAAAAATACGTAATTCTCGAGACAAGCTATATCGTATAAATTGCGTAATGTAATGTAATAAATTGATGGGTTTGATTTGATTTAAATTTTATTTTCTTCTTTTAGGAGCATTTCAATAAACGCTTGTTTTTAAAAATGTTTTATTGCTGTTATTTTTAAAATATTAATATTCTATTTCAGGTTACAAAATATCTGGTATAATAATGGACACGCATAACGCAGTTGCAGATGACCACCGGTTTCCTGCTTGCTAACGATTTCTACCAGATTTTTTCTATCAGATAGAATAACACGGCACAATAACTTAGAACCTCAAAGAAAAGAATCTAGTTTTTCTACAAAATGTGAAACACTGTATCTGCAATTTCTTCAACGTCAAAAGTTTTCACATTCCACCGAGCGAGGCACAAGCTTGTTTGTCCTCTCATCTATAAAAAGCGTTTTATTCATTCATCTTAAAATATATTAATAAAGTTCAAAGAAACTTTCTAAGTAAAATAACGATCTTGACACACATTTTCTTTCCGAAATGACGTTTCATAACGAATATCTTTCAGTAAAAGAAGACAATATATTATTTTATTCTGACATCAACTATCAGATAGACCACACAAGGGTGCAGTAAATTTACGTAATTGAACCGCCCGGATGTAACACTCTTGATATATGGACCGACGTGTTCTGTTTAAAAAGGTAAAAAAAGAAAAAATATACTAGAAGCCAATTTCTTATAAAGACAATATGCGATTCAACACTGCAAAATAAAGCCTTTTAACTCTATGTATTATGTACAATTCACATATAGCATTCGGCTATACAGTGTAGTGGCTAAGCGTATTGTTTTTTGTAACGCTGCAGTACTGGGGTTCCGTCTGTCGCATGAAACAAGTGTTTGAATTGTCTACAAATATTAGTTCCGTGTTTGGATGTTTGTCCATATTCCGGAACAAAATCCTAGTGTTGTGATTTTTTAGTTAACATCAAATAAAACAATCGCCTAACTGCTTTTATTTTACTTTACTAATTAATAACAGTTGAAGTATAAATTCGCCGTTTGAATTGAGTGGTCAATTTGATTTAAAATTAAACCTGCATGGTCCAAGATGTGTGATTAAAACTTTTTACAAAAAAAAAAACTATAAAATTTTAATTTAAAAATGAAATAATAGTGTTTGTTTTTCAAGCCGCAAGACCGCAATAATTTGACTAAATTTTGAATACGATTCCCGACATCGTTTTCGAGCAGCAGAGACATATCGCAATCTTAATGCTGAGTTTGGGAAGGATACGGCGAACAAACACATTGTGCGTAAATAGTTTTAACGTTATGTTACGAGAAACACTTATTTGTAATACCCTGCCACGGCGAGTAGTTTTTAATATAATATATATACAATTTTTTGTGTAAGATTTCTAAGCAATTTCAAGATTTTCTAGAAAAGAGTTTCTTCTATTAAACAAGTGGAATGTAGAATACAAAACTTTCAATGATATACAACTTTATTAAATTGAAACTTTAGTATTTAACTCGTTTTTCATTGCATATTTAAGTTTTAAATAGTCAACTTTCATATTGGCATTGTTATATCATGTGAAAATAATATATTATACGTTACGTAATATATGAAAACAGAATTAAGTTAAGACAGTCAAATAAAAGAGTCTAAGTGACTAGAAACCACTACAGGAAAACTGTAAGGCGTCTTAATTAACTACGATCACCGTTTGATCTCCATCAATGCTTTCCATACGGGTCACCGATACCCCCTCGCATGAGACAGAAATTATAAAATGGAAATTAAGGATTATTTATTTTTAATTAAATAAAAGTTTTGCCTTAATGTAAAACACGACTAATTGTTTGTCAACGAGTATTTATAATTTAGTTCAAAAACACAAAATTAAGTAATTTCGACATCTGGCTAGTTAACCGATTTAGTCGAATAAAATCTTTTTTTTTTAAATTTATTTTGGCAACAAACAGTCTTATACAAAGTAAATAAAATACAAAAAACTTATCTATTAGAAATTGACCTACAGTGCCGAAAACTTAAACACAATTTAAAAGAAAGTTACATGGTGACACTACATAGTGACTATTAATATAACAAAAAAAAAAACTACGGTACATAAACATAATTAAAATTAGAATAGCAATTCAAAAAAAGCAATAATAGCAATTTTTTATTTTCTGTTTTAAGGTATTGAGAGATGAATTAAAAAGGTATTCTTAAATCTTATTAATTAATCTTAATCTTAAAGAAACGATAGGTAAGAACGAAAATATAAATGACAAAAAGTGGATACCTGTGGAGTAATTACATACTATTACTATGAGAGAAAATAGTATCGCGATTAGTTCTGACGTATGATATCTTATATTTCGAAGCCAGTCAGTAATTTTGAGTATTTTTTATTTGCTTAACCAGTAATGTGTATTCACATCACTTTTAACGATGTTTATTATTAAGTTAATAGTTTCAAAAAAGCCTACTGTAGCCAGTGAACACCGCGGCAACCAACTTCAAACAAATAACGTCAAACGATGAGTTTTCTCACTTGAATAAATTTACAGCCTGTTATACTGACCGTGTTATCCGTCTAACTGAAATTCTAAAGGGGATGCACTGTCGCTTGAATGCTGAAATAGGTGAGACGGTGACTAACCCTGATAGACTTCCATCTTGGTGCAATAACAAAAAAACTATTTCAATGTTTATTCTTTCACTAAGCCATGTTAAAAACTTCAATAGGATTTCAATAAATTGTAACTTATTTCTGCAAGGAGTTATTCAAATTTGGCTTGGATATACAGGAAACTGCCGTTCTGCAGTTATCTCCATTCAAATATAAATAATTTATGATTGGCTAAGAATTCTAATTTCAAACTAATTCAATTTAAAAACATAGAATTCTTTGATTAAAACTACTTTTACGGATTTAATCAATGTATAGTGTTAGTAATATGTAAATATAAGAAATCATTATAGAATTCTTTTTTCAAAATTAGGTATTTATTTATTGATAAGCGCTATGTTTTCAACCCATTTGAACCATTTTCTTCATCATGGATACGTTTAAAATTCGAGTAATTATGTAATATAAGTACGGTCGTGGCAGCAACGCAGCACAAGCGGACGCAACATCTACGACGTTTACGGAATGAATATTACAAACGAAAGCACCACCTATTATTGGTTTGATAGAATCCGTTCTGCAAATTTCGACCTGAAAAATTAACCCTAGGTCGTCCAAAAACTTTAGTCAACAATGACGAATTAAAGGCGATAAAGGCGACGAAGCTTACGATGTTAGCATCAAACTGACATTGATCCATTCGCGTCAAATTATCAAAGTAAAAAGGCTTGACTAAGGCTACGGTCTCCTATTAAATGCTATACGCGACGTCCGAATCCAGCGTAAAAGTTCCGATCGGCATCTGAAGGTCAGGCACAGCGTCAGCGGTCAACATATCTTAGCAACGGACGACGTCTAGACTTTCGATCAAATAACACTTAAGTAGCCGACAGTGCTCACGTGTGGTTGTGTGTGATATTTGTACATAAAATGGATATAAATTCAATACTTTTGACAAGACCACCGTATACGAAGACAAATAAAGGCAACAAGGCACCGATTATTTATGAAGAGAAATGAAGAAGGATATTTCCAGCTATTGATAATGAAACACTTAAAAGACAGCAATTCTAAATT